ACTGTCTCATGAGTTGCTGGGACGTCAGGTGCACACCCTCACGCTTGGATGATGTTTGTATTTTTTTTGTAGGGACGGGGTTCCGACATATTGCCCAGGCTGGTCTTGAACTTCTGAGTTCAAGTGATCCACCCGCCTCGGCCTCCCAATGTACTGGGATTATAGGCATGAGCCAGCACGCCTGGCCAACGTTTTTTTATTTCACGAGTCATGTTTATCAACTTTTATTCTTATTGCTTCTGAATTTTGAGTCATAATTAGGAATACTTTTTCCACTCCAAAGTTCTAGCAGAATTAGCCCATTTCCCCCAGTCCTTATACTTAATTCTTTTTTAAAATTAGAGCATAGATCCATTTGGTGTTTATGTATAATATGAAGAATGAGCTGAAGTTTTTCTCGTGTGACTATCCAGTTGTCTGCAAACCAGTCATTAACATCTTTCTTTTTCCTGTTGACTTGAGATATGTTACCTTTGTCACATGTTAAATTTCCCATATGCATTTGGTCCTGTTTATGGAGTTTTTACTCCGTCTTACTACTCTGTCTGTCCGTGTACCGGAACAGCACTATAGAGTCTTCAGTGTTTTTCTAGATATTGTTGCTTGTTTATTCTTCCAAGTGAACTTTATAATCAGTTTGTTTATGTGGCGGTGGTGGGAGTGGGGGAGGTCTATGATGGTTTTTTTTGGGGGATTGCATTTGTAGGTTACATTGTTGAGAGTGGACATCTTGGGATTTTTGAGTCCTCCTATTCCATAATATGGCATGTCTTTTCATTTGTTAATGTCTAGTTTTGTATCTTGCAGAGTGTTTTATGTTTTTTAAAAAACATTTTTATTGAGGTGTAATTAACTACTATAAAATTCATTCAGTTTATGTGTAAAATTTGGTAATTATATTTTGAGACAGGGTGTAGCTCTGTTACCCAGACTGGAGAGTGGTGGTGTGATCTCCACTTACTGCAGCCTCTGCCTCCAGGGTGCAAGTGATTCTCCCACCTCAGTCTTCCAAGTAGCTGGGACTATACAGGCGCATGCCACCACACCTGGCTAATTTTTGTACTTTTTGGTGGAGATGGGATTTTACCATGTTGTCCAGGCTGGTCTTGCACTCCTGACCTCAGGTGATCCACCTGCCTCGGTCTCCCAAAGTACTGGGATTGCAGGTGTGAGCCACTGCATCCAGCCCAATTTCAGTAATTTTTGAAAGTAAATTTAGAATTGTGCAGTCATCACCACAATACAGCTTTAGAATATGTCTGTCAATCCTGGAAGATCACCTGCTTTCTTACTGTCAGTCTGTTCCTACCTTCATTCCTATCAATCTCTTTTTTTTTTTTTTCCCTTTTGTGGATATTTCATATAAATGAAATCATACAATATGTGGTCTTTTATATCTGGCTTCTTTTACTTAGCATAATTTTTTTTTTTTTTTTGAGGCAAGGTCTTGCTCTCTTGCCCAGTGCAGTGACAATCGCAGCTCACTGCAACCTCTCCTTCTCAGGCTCAAGCAATCCTCCTGCCTCATCCTCCCGAGTTGCTGTGACTACAGGCACATGTCACCATGTCTGGCTAATTTTTATATTTTTTGTATAGACGAGGTTTCTCCATGTTGTCCAACCTAGTCTCCAACTCCTTGTGATCTACCTGCCTTGGTCTCTCAAAGTGCTTCGATTACAGACATAAGCCATTGGGTCCAGCCTAAGTTAGCATAATTTTTTAAGGAGGTTAATCCATGTGTAGCAGGTATCAGTAATTAGTTTTCGTTTTATTTATTTATTTTTTGAGACAAAGTCTCGCTCTGTCACCAGGCCAGAGTGCAGTGGCGCAATCTCGGCTCATTGCGACCTCTGCCTCCCGCTTCAAGGGACTCTTCCACTTCAGCCTCCCAAGTAGCTGGGACTGCAAGCGTGCGCCACCATGCCAGGGTAATTTTTTGTAGTTTTAATAGAGATGGGGTTTCACCGTGTTGGCCAGGATGGGCTTGATCTCTTGACCTCATGATCTGCCCACCTCGGCCTCCCAAAGTGCTAATATTATAGACATGAGCCACCATGCCCAGCATTCGTTTTAATTTTATTAGTTACAGCATATTCTGTTTGTATAGATATACCACATTTTGTTTATCTAATTGTCAGTGATGCTGTACTTTTGTTTGCTTGTTTGTTTGTTTTTGAGGTGGAGTCTCTTTCTGTCGCCTAGGCTGGAGTTCAGTGGCAATCTTGGCTCACTGCAACCTCTGCCTCCTGGGTTCATGCAATTCTCCTGCCTTGGCTTCCTGAATAGCTGGGATTACAGGTGCACACCACTACACCTGGCTAATTTTTTATATATTAGTAGAGATGGGGTTTCACTATGTTGGCCAGGCTGGACTCGAATTCCTGACCTCAAGTGATCTGCCCACCTCGGCCTTCCAAAGTGCTGGGGTTATAGGCACAGACGGACTAAGGTCATCAGAGAGTATAGTGGCTAACATTGCTTATTGCTGATTCCAAGAGAGTCTGTGGTGTCTTACCAGGAAATGGAAATGGACTTTGAGGAGTTCATAAAGAACTCTCCCAGAGAAACCATTGTTTTTGTTATTGTTGTTATACTACTCATATTCTTTCTAGCCTGGTAGCCAGAGAAATATGTTATTTTTCTCACGATTTAAAAGCTATAAACAACCTACCTAACCTTAAAAAAAAAAAAGTTCAAAGAAAATCACCCACAGCCCTACCAGTCTGTCATAGCCATACTCGCTTTTTACCCTTTAATATTTCTAAATGTAAAAGATAACATGAAAATAAAATTGACCCATTAAGAAGGATCTATTCTCCTTATTTTCTTTTAAGCTGTGCTATTTCATAAAATTAATTTTATAATTTTAGGAATGTTTCCCTTTTTAAAAATTTTAAATAGCTGTTTTCCTAGAGAAACACTAGATTGTAGATGCCAAAATGTTGCTTATTGTGAATATGCTTTAGTTATATAATTTTTATGTATTATGTTCAAGTTATGCATAAAGTCCGTTTTAGAAAAATAATGATGTTTAAGGAATAAAATAAGAGTGCTGGGCCGGGCGCGGTGGCTCACGCCTGTAATCCCAGCACTTTGGGAGGCCGAGGCGGGTGGATCACGAGGTCAAGAGATCGAGACCATCCTGGTCAACGTGGTGAAACCCCGCCTCTACTAAAAATACAAAAAATTAGCTGGGCATGGTGGCGTGTGCCTGTAGTCCCGGCTACTCGGGAGGCTGAGGCAGGAGAATTGCCTAAACCCAGGAGGCAGAGGTTGCGGTGAGCCGAGATCGCGCCATTGCACTCCAGCCTGGGTAACAAGAG